TGGTTCTGGCTCCTACCATTCTGGGGAGCGACAGTCCGGTTCCTATTCCCCCGGCAAGTCAAGTAGAAAACATGGGAGACTCACGCACGCTCCTCCCATTATGGCTGAGAGGTCCGAGTGGACGGCATTGATTACTTCCCTGAGGAAGGATTTACCACCCCTCACCCCTGCCTAAGTTAGCCTGTGTTATTTGATCTGCCTGACTATTGCCAATCTATCTAAAACCTTTCCAATTCGTAATCTATTGGCAAGTCAGAATAAACAAAACCTCATAGAACCCACAGTCTTCCTCCCCTTTGGCCGAAGAACCCCTGAGCCGCATTGAATACTCCAGCCTTCTGGAGGATTGACTGCCAACTTGCCATGTCTCGCTCTTTCCTCTCAGATCTGCCCCCTAGGTCTGTCAGATAAATCCATTCCCGCTAGAAAGAGCTTTCCGTCAAACTCTAGGTAATCCTTGAGCCTCGAACTTCCACCTTACCTATATATATATCCCGTCTCCCCCTATTCCTCCTTATCTGTCATTATGAACGCACTCTCAAAAACCCTTAACCCTAAACCCTCGTCTTGATTTCCCCCCCCCCCTCCCTCTGCAGCTACCGGCTTGCCTTGTCTTCGACCTCTCAAGTGGCCTGAATTGTGTTTATGTGACTACAGCTCATCCTTTTGTCCGCTTCGGGTGTGTTCTGGGGTTGCCCTCCTGTTTCTGGGTTGTGCCATTCTTTCCAGCTTGCTCTTCCATTCCGTCACTCTGTCGCTTGGCCATTCACCAACCCCTGTCCCATAAAACTTATTCCTGACCTTCTCTTGCTGATCCTCAACCTCTGATCTCGTCTGCCTTCATCTCCGCCTTCAACCCGGTAGGAATTTCCAACTAAATATGATTGTAAGGATTTTCCTGCCGCCTTACGTGGCCTGTGATGGATCCTGCCCGTTTATAGACTGGAATCTCTGCCTTTTTCCCACTTTTTGCAAAGCTAACTCGCTTGTACTCATGCTGAACCCCTGTTTTGCCACTTTCCTTAACCCCTAAACCCTATTTCCGGATTCCCGCGAGACCAGGTCTCTGTTGTCTCGGAACCATCATCCTGAATGATCACTTAGTCGATAATAATGTCCGCTGTATTATTTTGTGATTGTGCCATTTCCAGCGAGGCGAAATCCGTGGTCCTGTCTCCCCCTTGCTGCGCCTCCCTTCTCTTCCATAACAAACGCGGGGGATCCCCTTGTACTGTTCCTAGTTTACCCTTTCCAAGCCTGTCTTTGATAAACTTATCTATAATTGTTTGCTTTTTCGTGGGATCGTCCTTGATCTTCTTGCTTTCTCGGAAGCACTCTGCCTGGTATTCCGTGTGTAGAAGTTGAAGAACATTCTCCCAGGCTTCCCGAGTCGACGTGCTTTGGCGAGCTATCGTTTGTTTACAACGAGTCTTCCATATGATCCATAGTGTAGACGGACGAAGTCTTCTGAATAGAATTGAATGCCATACTTCTCTGAATCCTGGTTGCGCCAACCCCGTCAGCAGTGTCAGCATGTTGTCTGGTAGTGAACTGCCAACTAGCTCCAACCAGTACTCCTGAGCTCTGTTCCAGATTCTTTGTGCGTTTGAGCAGTTTATGAGGCAGTGTAACATGTCCTCGAGAGATCCCTCCTCGCAAACTGCACAGCTGTCATCGAAGTCCCTTCTGTTATTTCCTGACCTTCTCCTGCTGAGCCAAGAGTTGGTAGCAAAGCCTGATAGTATACTTCTTATGCGAGTATTTCTGATGGCGAGGAGGATCTGCCAGTCCAGCTTCTCCGTGTTAGCGAGGCAGCCTGGAATGTGCTTCTCCCAGCGGTGGGATAATATGAGGTCTGTGTTCACCGGATTACATCTAAGTTTGTAACCGAAACTAGTTGTATAGTCAAGGATATTGGTCCGTTTCTGCACCCCAAATGAAGAGGGGCTGTCGTAGTACTTCCTCTCTATTTGTTGGACTTCTAACCTTGGCCGGGAAGATCTCTCTCCAGATCCTGATGAGGTA